CGATAAGCACGTGGTGGTGCCTTCGCCTAAGAAAGAAATTACTACCCACATTGAGGATTTTTAACTGTTTACACTTACCCCTTCATGTTGGATCCCTTAGACACGATCATTATCACCTTCTGCAAGACGTACGAGGTAACCCTTGGTCAAATTCACCCCTCCTTCTGGAGGATAGTGATTCTTCTCCGCTTTTTTGTAAGTAAAATCGAGGGGTGTCCTGTCATCCTCGATAATTTCCTGTGCATGTACAGTCCCCAACTCTATCAAGTGGGATTAATCAAACTTTCTCGCCGGGCCAGTAGGGCCCTATTCTCGAGTATAGATGAGGATCAAGATCGAGGCAGGATGGGCCGATTCATTCGGACTTAATCCCGGATGAGAATATTTCATTTCCCAAGAAATGGAACATGAATCGTAAGTATAATTCTACATGAAGGATCTTGTTTATTGTTTTTTCTTTTTTCCTTTATTACCGACATCTTGTGGTGTAGCCGTTACTCGAATGCCAAATGTAGTTCCTTGACTCAAGGAGTGGGTCGAGGACCTCGTGTCGTATAAACCCTATTCCGAATGTGTGTGGCTCGAGCTGTCGAAGGGACAGCGGGAGGCCTGTTCCCATGGTAAGTTTTCTTCTTCCGATTCAATAATATTTGATTTATTCCCTGTGCCGTTTAGTTCTCATTGATTATATTTTCTTTTGTAGGTCTCCCCAAAGATATTACTTTAAGGACTCCATCTGGTGATAAGGATGTGCCTTTCGAATCCCCTGCTCTGAGGCAGGGTAAAGAGAAGAAAAGGAAAAGGGCCCCAGGTTCTCCGAACTCAGAAAAGAAAAAACCAAAGAGGAGCCCGACATGCAAACCCAAGGGAAACACCGACGCTCTACCCTCTAACTCAGTCCACCGGCTAAGGGATAAGTCCGAAGAAGAAGAAAAGGAAAAGAAATCCAAGCTGGTGGCCCGTATGCGGGCAGGTGTCTTGATATGAGAGGCCTCCAAACCAGCGGGTGTTGAAACTGAATCGTCTAGACTTGAGGAGGTCAATGGGAGAACTTTAGCTAAAGCACCCGAACCAGAAGGGGGTAACGCCACTCTGCCTCGAGATGGGGAGGCCGATAATGAGATCGTGGTCGGTTTATCACGAACAACGGATAATATTTTGAAGGGCATACCCGGAGTAATAGACCTCTCCGGTTCGCCTTTATTATTTTCTGAGTCTTTGATTGTTGATGCTCAGGCACTGAAAGAACGATCCGCGAAGAGCCACAAGGGGTAGTAGACACCTGTAACAACTTCTTTGACGGCGTAAACTCTATCGCTACGGGGGATGTCACCGGGTTGGGTGATATACCAGTATCGAAGAAGAGTCATCGAGTGGACCTACCTCGAGACTGAAATTAGTCAATCAGTTCCCAGCCTCGAGTTTGAATCCTGATAGGAAATGGTCAATTGTTATGTCCATCCCAGAAGATGCCCGGTTTCTCTTTGCCCCCATGCGAGTGGCCATTTATCTTTGGTGCTTGGTGACCGATGATGATCAGGCTAAGATGAACGAGGTGGAAGTGCCTTGTTTGTTCAACGAAGCCATACATGCATTAAATCGGGTAACCCCAGATACCTTTTAATAATTTCTAGTGCGTACTTAGACTATTTTGTAGATGATTGTAACTCTTTTTCCTGTGTTTGTAGGCTTCGGTACTCCATCATTAAATGTTCCTCTGTTACCAGGAGGAGCTGATCCAATATGAGGCCAAGGTCTGAGGGCTCACTGAGAAAAGAGATGCTTACAAACTTCTTAGTGAGCAAAGACAAGAGGAAGCTAAGGGACTCGGGGCTGAGTTGGAGGTGGCTCGGAAAGAGCATGTTGACCTGGCTGAGCAGGTAAGAAGAATTTTTGAAGTTAGTGATGATGAATCGGACATGGTGACTAATGGTCCAAACCTGCAGGTCCAATAGTAGTTCGAAAATATTGGGCAGCTCCAGGAAGAGGTAGATGCGGTGAAGGCTGAGGCCGAAGAATGGAAAAAGAACATGGATCGCCTAGCCTCAGAAAAGGAGACTGCCCGAGCCCAACTGGCTTCGGCTAAAGTCCAGATCCAAGGTATAAAGGAGAAGTCCTTGGCACAGTCCAAGAAGATCGAGGGGCTCCAGTCCCAGCTGAATTCGGCCATCTCTGATCGAGAAAGTTTGGTCACGTAGCTTGAAGCGACCAAATCGGAGGCAAAAGTAGTTAAGGATAATACTGATGAGGTGGTGGCCATTTATAAGGCCGATGCTGAAGCGGCTCAGGTTCGAGAAAAAGACATCAACGAGCATGCTAAATGGCAATCTTGAAAGGAGGCCCTTGAGGAAATCCACGCTCGAGGATTCGACCTATCAGCTGAGATCGAGAACGCCAATGAGCTCAAAGTTGAGGTTAAAATGTTGGCTTATCCCGAGGATGATAATGACTCAGAGGGCTTAAGCTAGTCCGAAGGCGGGGAAGATCCCGAAGGTGATGATGCCTCCGATAAGGACCAGGCCACTTACGCCTTTAGATGTTTTAAATTTTTGAGTTTTTGCATCTTTATATATAAGTCTTTCTTTCCCTTTCGGCTTTTAAATTTTTCCTTTGCTTTATTACTTGTATTCACAAAGGCCGGAATGCCTTAGCAAAAAATAACTTAGTTATGTACGAAATCTCAAAACAAATCTCGCCTTTACATTACTCTGTTTTAAGGTGTCTTGGGTTTCGGTGTTACCCAAAACTTTCTCCCAAAGTAAGTAATTCAAATTATAGTTAGCTGAGGGTAGCCTTTAGAACCAATTATGAAAAAAAAATTCTTTTTTGTAAGGCCTATCTTTTGTTACGGGTCTCGGACGTCTCTAAGCCATATTAATATGGACATAGCCTTTTAGTTCGGGAGTTGTCCCATGGGACTTATTTTCCCGAGTTATCTAGGCTTGCCCAAGATAACAGTCCCCGAGTAGAGATAGTCGTGGCCTTTAAAATGCGGGAGTTGCCTGATAGGTCTTATTCCCCCAAGATCTAGTGGCTTGGGCCGCCCGAGTTTATTTCGGATGACAGTCCCCGAGTGAGGGAGTGATCATTCGAACTCCAGTTATGAGCGGCCCTTGAGCTTGTTACCTTTAGGAGAACGTAAGTATGAAATTTTTTAAGGGATGTAAAGAAGAAAATTTTAAAACATAAGATGATTGCAAGGAAAAGTCTTCTCTATATTCTTGTGCAAGATAGTAACATAAGTATACATGCTTTGTGTTAGGGTTCGATCAGCCTAGTGGGAACGGTTCGTTTGACCGTTTGGCCCTTACGATACATCCTACCTGTTGATATCCTTCAGCTACGAAGTTTCTTTCCTTGCTAACATCGCATCAGAGGGTGATGCCCCCAATATTCGAGGTTGATTATAGAGGAAACTCAGATACTGTTAGTGCCAGCTTTGACACTGATCCGTGATCGGTCCTTGATTCTAAGTTAGAATGATTCATTGTTGCCTCGTTAAAAACCTTGCCGGAAAACCCATTTGGGATAAAACCATTTCAAGAAAAAAAGAGTACAACACATGCTTTCAGACATAAAGACTTTGTACCGCTCCTTGTCGATCACTTGCAAGTGTTATTTCGAAAAATAAAAGGAAATGAATTGGGTCATGTGTTAGCAGTAATATCGTTTTAGGTGAGTTACATTCCAATTGCTCGATAGTTGTTCCCCGTTCATCGTTTCGAGCTTCTAGGATCCTTTCTTGTTGACCTCGAGAATTTGTACAGTCATTCCAGTTCGGATCCAACTTCCCTTCGTTCGGGTTCCGAGTGTTTAGTGTGACCTTCCTTAGTACTAAGTCCCCAATATTGAAATATTGAAGGTTGGCCCTTCGATTATAATACCTCTCGATCCGTTACTTTTGATCAACCAATCGAACAAGGGCGGTTTCACGCCTTTCATCTAATAGCTCCAGGCTCGTATTCATGGCTTCGCCATTTGATTCCTTTGTTGCATATCAGAATTTGATACTTGGCTCCCCTACCTCGACCGGTATTAGAGCGATATGCCCAAAGGACTTCGGGCAGGATCGCCCGAGGTCGAGCTTTGACCTGTCACGTTTCAACATTGGGTTAACGTGAGATTAAATCGAGTTCGAGCCCAAGTTATATCGAACTAAGACACGAAGTTAAATCGTTGAGCTCGTGACTCCAAGACCGAACAAGATCGAGGGAACTTTGTCGATCCAAATAACGGAAGGCCGAAATATCCGGGATTGGTTGGAGATCACAGCGGAAATCTCGACACGTATCAAGGAGAGACCAATTAATTAGCAGATCATGAGATTGATTACCTTTTATAAAATTGTATCAAGAATAGGACTCCCCTACTACATAAAGGGAGGTTTGATCATTTGCAAAACACAATGTAATACACAACAAAAAGTAATACACTATTATTTCTAGCTCTTATCATCTTGTTATTTTGTTCTAACATCAGTTGAGGCAATTCTTGGCTCGAGGGTTACCAAACTTAAAGGTCAACGCTGTTTAATTTGTGTGGTTTGCATTTATTTTCTTATCATTAATTTGTTTTCTTAATTTGTATCAAGTTATATCACGTATCCTACCGCGTATAAATTTAATTGTTATCCGATTTTGAGGGTAAACACAATTACTAATACTCCATTTTAACGACACAAATGTCAAAAGATACTTGAAACATTGAAATTATTTATTATTTGTTGAGGTTTGTTGAATAAAAAAGCACATGAAATAAAAAAGAGAATAAAGTGAAGGAAAAAAATTGTATGATTTCCATAAGAAAATAATTTCTGAACGGCGACCGACGTCGTTTTATGCTCTAATCCTTCAAGATCCGTCGGCGTCTTCCCTCATTTCCTTCTTCGATAGCTTCTGTGATTCAAGAAAATGTTTTGATAAATAGGGATTCAATTAAATTTTTTCTCAGATTTTCAAATTGCAAGGTGAAATACGCAAAACCCATTTCAAGTTAGTCTTAATTTTCGAATGTGGGGTTTTTAATATAATCCCCCCCTTTTGGATCTTGTGTTCAGAGCAGTAGAGTTCACCATTTTATAAGCTGAAAGATCCCCTCACTATGCATTGAGAATGGACAGTGTTTCTTTAAGAGCTATTCGAAGACCAGACCGTAACCATCTTCAATCTAGAGGTAAACCCAAATGTAGCTGACTAATAATTACATACTCTGTCCAATTTATATTTACTCTCTCCATTTTGAGATGTCCAAAATATTTGAATATTTATCTATGTAACTTTAACAGTTTCGAAGAATTCATAATCATTTATAACTCCTTAACCATTGATGTGGTAATTTTTTTACTACGATGCTGCTGAGCCTGCTTACACACGCAAGGCAGGTATCGGGAAACTCTGCCCACCAAGGCTTAGGTAGCGGGAAAAAATTACTACCTAGTAGTTTTTTTGTTGCATCACTTAGTATTTTTTTGAATCTGAGACCTCATGGTTCTCCTCTCTTGATTGACCACTTGCAACCATCGATCGATTTGATATTTTCCGTAACAAATTTAACTTCATAGCAAGTATTGATTATTTGCTTCTATTATCACCAATGTAATACACAAGCCAAATATATACATTAAGCTCTATGTTTTATATTTACGAAGGAACGGTGTCCTGCACTGCAATGGTGGCTGTATATCTGTGAAACTGAACTGGAAATTAGTGTAGTTATGATGGAGAGTGTCTTGCATTTCAGCACTGCAGTAGTAGTGCTCTGTAGCAGTGGCAGACACAAGAAGTTATACAAGGGGATTCAAAAAAATAACTAAGAATGTCATACCTCGGATTTGAACCTATGACCTAAAGCAATTTTTGAACCCCCTTAGTCACTTTACTAGAATTTGCCATCTATCAAGGGGATTCAACGGTATCAATATACAAAAAAAAAAAAAAATTGCTCTATTTGCACAATGTAATTTTCAGCATAGGGGATTCAATTGAACCCCCTTTCGTCAGCTTAACTTCGTCCCTTCCCTGTATCTCTATTGAAACTGAACTGGAAATTAGTATAATTTTTTTTGAGAAGAGGAAATTAGTATAATTAGATAAAGGATGTCTTGCGTTGTAGTGGTAGTGCTTGTATTACTGTTGAAATTGAATAGGAAAAATTAACTGTGAATGCAGATGGTAAGGAAGATTTCCTTGCAAGTGGGAAGTTATACCACGACTCCCCAATGAGGATTATATGGAAAAGGGGCTTCATTCGGTTGGTTCTTGTGGCCGGAATTATTTGGGGGATGCTCATTCTAACCGCATTGTTATTTCATGCTTGGTCTTGCCAGTCTTCTATTGCTTTCTTTTCAGGTAACTATTTTACATTTCTTGCTTTCTTTTCCTTTGCCATATTTATGGTAGTATTTGCTTTTGCTGTTGCTTTGAGTTACATCGGATTGGATGAGGGGATTGTGGTAATGAACAATGTGATTTATCATTGCTGGTCCCAATTGGTAAACCTAGTATATTTAGCACCTTGATTCTTAAGGTGAACTAAACATTACCTTGCTTTCACAATTTCTCTAACTTTATGGATAATGGAAACATGACATTTTTGAAGGTGGAAGTAGTATGTATGATCTTGTTACAGTCATTTTTTGTTTCAGAAATTAATTAGCAGCCTATACTTTTTGCCTTTCGAAATTGGATTCTGCATTTATCTTTCTTTCTTGACATGCAGCCCTTTGTAACAAAAGCAGTAAAATATATGAAGTTATTCAGAGTATGGGACTTGTGACACCTCCACATCGTGAGTCTCTCAAATTTATCACTCCAAACTTTTGTATCTAAATGTATCTGAGAAATGTTAAGGTTGCTGTTTTATCTCTTGTGTATGTATAGGTTGTCATATTCCTGTAGCAGATGATCCAAATGAGATTGTTATTCCTAAAAGGAGATCTCCGGAAAAGTATGTGCAATCTCTTTCTTACTTTATGGAGGATGTGACAGCAACCAACGGATCTCAGTCGTCGCCTCTGTTTGGAGGAAATATAACATGGAAACAGAGAGATGAGAGCTTTAAAGTAAAACCAAACATGAAGGTAAACATACCGCCTTATCTAACTTAGTTTGAGGCTTCCGCTGTTTCTATACCTGTTTGTTGCATTTACCTGGCCTACTTTTCTCTCCTTCTTAAAAACAAAGCTCTGGGAAAGACCAAATTTTGCTCAGAGAAGGAGCAGTGAAGAATGACTTGAAAACAAAATCTACCTTTAGCTTTTGGTATATGTACTATATTTTGAGTACAAATCAGTTTTGGTGCTATCCTCATTCTTAATTAAGTAGTCCATTTTTTACATGTCTTCACATATTGTAACCAATAAAGTATTTTGAGATAAGTGTCTCCAACAACAACAACAACAACCCAGTATAATCCCACTTAGTGGGGTCTGGGGAGGGTAGTGTGTACGCAGACCTTACCCCTACCCTGGGGTAGAGAGTCTGTTTCCAAATAGACCCCCGACATCCTTCCCTCCAAGAACTTCCCACCTTACTCTTGGGGAGACTCGAACTCACAACCTCTTGTCTCCGATTCCCCAAATTATCAAAATGGCTCAAAAAAGACTACCAAGTGAATGTGACTACTACTCTACTAAGGAATGCAATTGACCGGGAAAGAGGAATGGAAATATGTTACATGCTCGGGGCACCCTACTCCTAACTCCTGAGGATTTGGTTTCCTTGTCATTATTCTCGGGAACAATTTGAGTTTGCTACTTCATATGCTTCCAGATTTGATTTATATTTCATCTGTAGGTGCACTGTGGCTTTATACGAAATGGTGGTGCAGAAATGGCTCAGAAAGACATCAAATATGTCAAGAAGTGCCGGTTTGTTGTTGCCTCTGGTATTTTTGATGGATATGATACACCTCACCAGCCGTCAAATATAAGTGCACGTTCTCAGAAGCTCTTTTGCTTTCTTATGGTTGTCGATGAAGTATCCCTTGAGTTCATCAAGAAAAATGTTACGGTTAGAGAGGACAATGAAGGGGGAGAATGGGTTGGTATTTGGCGCTTGATTCTATTGAAGCATCCTCCGTATGATGAGCCTAGAAGGAATGGAAAAGTTCCCNTTTTTCCTTTTGATTCCTAATGTCGTCAGGTTACTGGATTTACTTGAATAGCTTAAGTAATAATGGGTATATTTCCTTCTCAAAAAAAATAATGGTTAGATTCAGGGCTTGCAGTTATTTCTTGTACATGGATTTCTGTTTTGTTAATTTCTCTCGTTAAAAGTTTTAACCAAATAAAAGAAAGTCTCCTGTGTTTAGAAAGTACTGCATCTTGATTGAGCATGAGTGGTCTAACTTAGACGGTGGCTACTTGAAGATACTTGTGGCGTGAGAAGAATACGTTTGCAATTGCTCAGCACAAGCATCACCGCAATGTGTACGAAGAGGCTGATGCAAACAAAAGGAGAAAGCGATATGCTCGTCCTCTGATTGATCTTCATATGAAGATATATCGCTACGAGGGAATGGAACCATGGAATCCAAAGAAAAGCACTCCTAGTGGTAAGTTAAAGGCCTTTGTTGTATGTTCTAATTGGTAACAAGGCTAGTATTTTCTAATCACTAAAAGGAGTGTCAACTTCTCCAGGACATTAATTCTTTCTCATCAGTCACTTCTCAATTATAGTGAAAACTTTTTGGTATACGCAGATGTTCCAGAAGGAGCCGTTATCATACGAGAACATACTGCGCTGAGTAATTTGTTTAGTTGCTTGTGGTTCAATGAAGTTCACCTCTTCACACCGAGAGATCAGCTGAGCTTTGGGTATGTTGTCTATAGGTTAGGAGGCTTGTTCAAATTTTTCATGTTTCCTAATTGTGAGTATAACTCCGTCTTTATTTTGCACAATCATACCCGCGAACATTCATCCAAAGTAGAGTGGGTAAAATCTTTGGATGAATTTAAGAAGAAAACTGGTTTGAAAGAGAGTAGGGGAGGATTAGGGTTGTGGACTCCTTATCCGGGGAATCTGGATTCGGTTGTATTACCATCTGTAAAGAGAACTTCAAAAGCTGGATGAGAATGGAGTTATATTTCTATTTCACATTTTTGGTTTTGGCAACTTCTTGGGAGTTAGTAGTGTTGCCTGCCCACCCAATTATGAAGAACAATGTAATGCATTGTATTATCCTTCATCAGTTTTGAGGCTTTCTTTGGAGTTCCTCGAGTTTGATTCTTTTTTTCTTTCCTGACAAGTCAAATTACCTTTTGAGCCGAGGGTCTCCCGGAAACAGCCTCTCTACTCCTTCGGGTAGGGGTAAGGTCTGTGTACACGCTACCCTCCCCAGACCCCACTTGGTAAGATTTTACTGGGTTGTTGTTGTTGTTGTGACAAGTCAAATTGCAAGTGCTATTTTTCAGTAAACAGTTCTTGATTCAGTAAATAGGTGCAAATCAAGACTATTCACACCAAAAGACAACACACCCGCTTAAGGAAAAAGAAAAAAGAAAGAAAGAGTTAGTGACTTATATTTATTATTATTATTATATACTTTTAACATTGGTTCCTTTTATCTTTATGATTTTGGCACGGGAGTGCTTCCAGATAAATTAGGAAATTTTAGACTATAGTTGTTTTTATCAAAGGCGAAGACCTAGCTATTCAGATAGTTAGAGGGTGTTTGGATTGGCTTATAAAAAGTACTTTTAAGCTAAAAGCTAAAAGTCATAAGTTGGCAATACCTAACTTTTGGCTTTTGGCTTATTTTTGTACTTTTTAAGCCTAAAAGTAAGTGTTTTTAAGCACTTTTTATCATTGTCAAACACTACACAAAATAAAAAAGTGCTTAAAAGCCAATAAGCACTTAAAATAAGCCAATTCAAACACTCTCTTATGCATGGGAGGAATTTTCGGGCTTGCTGAGTAATACAATACACAAACAACAATCATATTTGTTCCAAACGGAGTCAAAAATACTAGATGATCAAAATACTAGATGATCTTTTACCATCTGTTCAAGTTTTGGTGGATAAAGTTACTCGATATCTGTGCTGATCGGAGGTAGCATGTATCTCAAGTAACTAGTTAAGGTGCGCATAAGCTGTCTGACACCATGGTTTCAAAAAAAATAATCAATCAAAAATGGGTTTCTAAGATGAACTAATTAGGTGGAAGAAATATTGGATCTGAACCACTCGAATCTAAATACCGTGTCAAAGACAATTCTACCAAATGTCGTTTTCCTAGCACATGTTTCCTGCAAAATAATGAAGGAAAAAATATCTCGCGTTGATTGATTGCAACATCTTTACCCTTTCTTTTCCCGGAACAAGGTTAGTAGTATATGTGTTAAAAGTAAAAATAGCCGGTGGATGTATAATATATGTAAAAGTCATGTATAATGTGTGTGTACGGCATATAATCAATATATAACAGCTAGAAAAAGTAAACAATTTATCTGGCCGGCTATTTGTGTAACAATCCCTTAAATGATTTTGAAAAAGGCCGTTACAACAATTGAATGAAAAACTAAGCACACGTCTGGACATACATTATAAATGTTTGCTTCACACTATTTCCACTTCACTAGAACAAAAAGTTCAACCTATCTATTTCTTATTTCTTCCATATATAACCCTTATATGTAAAATGAATAATATCCAAATAAGTGTTCAGTGTAATGATTTAAAGTGAGCTTTGCTTTAATAGTCTGTGAAGTCTGAATTTGTTTCCAATTATCCATATTTATGAGCGGATTCATTTAAAACTCCAAAAGCTAAGCTGCCACTTGCAGTATTAAACAAGAACCTCACAAAAGGCAACATTATTCAAAAAGGATACAAAAGAATTAGCTCGCGGTCGACATACAAAACAAATAAATGAGCACAATACATAACATGGGTTTTGTAATTCCTGGAAAACCCTACTGTTGTAGAATTTAAAAAGGAAACCAAACCCTGCCATATGTGCAGATAACACAACACAATAAATTACACCATGACTTAACTGGTTCTTAAAAGAATATAAATGTCTTGCAAATGCCGGAGAGCCTTGGTTCTGGGAACTCACTAGAGAAAGCTTTTATTTTTGAGTTGGAAGGAGATTCATAATTTAAGGAGGAAAAAGCACATGATATGTATCATCAAGCTCATACCAAGGCAATCACACAGGATACAAAAGTACAAAGTTGGCTCCTTCAATTAGACGCATCGCGGCTGTAGTACTGATCCAGGGTCTTCGCGGGGATACGGTGAAGAAGCTCACGAGGGAAAATCCGAAGGAGTGTCCAAGCTAAATCAAGCGATTGGAAAATGTTGCGGGTGTCGTAGGCTCCTTGGGCAACAAACTTCCTCTCGAATTTGTCAAGAAACTCTAAGTAAAGCTGTTATATTCAAGAAAGATTCAATTAGTGAACTCATTAGAGCCAAAAATAAAGCTCAACTAATTTTTCTCAAGTTACAAACCAGGTCCTCAGAAGATAATGCTTCTTCTCCAACCACAGCTTTCATTGCCTGGACATCCTTGCCAATAGCATAATTTGCATACAGCTGAAAATTTTAAATGTATTACCATTAAGCATCATTTATTGCAGATACAGTAGTAATTGTAAAGTCTTACTGAATGTATGTTAATGAACAGTGATGAAACACATCTTTACTGAAAGTTGATCTTACCTGGTTGGATACATCAGAATGATCCCTCCTAGTCATACCCTCACCAATGGCACTCTACAAAAGTTATAAGGGTGAATTAACAAGTCACATGTTTGGTGTTCTATCAGTTTACAAAAAAGATCTAAATAGATTCATATCTAAACAGATCCATAAGCTCACCTTCATCAACCGAGACAGTGATGGAAGCACATTGATTGGTGGGTATATCTGTTAAAATTCAGACAGGAAAAACAACCATTTGATATTTTTCTATTCAAGCCCAACGCTATTCAAAATGTAAAGATATTCAATCCATCCACACTCATAAGCTTTATTCATAGCTAATTTCAACAAAGAGAACCTTCCACTGTTGTGACTTGCTGGTTAGTCAATTTTAGAAATAACTTGATCAACAAGCAATGGGCCATTTATCCAAAAGCAAAACATTTAGACTAAATTAATTTTAATTTCTTAAAAATAGTACTGCTAAATCGTAAAATAGGGGCCGAGGTTCTTGATCACTTTCTCTGCAGAAATACTAAGTAGCTATTCAGTTCAGTAAGAAATCTCAGGTTATGCAGAACCTAATCGAGATGATCTAGAATAAACTAGAAATAGCAAATCAAGAGATTAAGAGATAAAAAGATTGATAAAGCAAAGGGCATATACTTCCTATATCAGTTTGATCAATTGCTCGTATTTTCTAAATCTTCACCTCTATCATTCAGAAATAATGCCCTTTTACTAGTGTGCAGAAGTTCTCAGTCCGACAGATTTATTACGTACCTGCCGGTTATGAAGCTGTCGGTCAATATATATTTGTCCTTCGGTGATATAACCTGTAAGATCTGGGGTTGGATGTGTAATATCTGTACAAAATAATAAGAGAAATTAGAGACTCATCAACATATATTAGGAAAAATGAAGGCAGAAGTAGAAATAATAGCAAAATGATGCTGGCTACGATTTACCATCATTTGGCATGGTCAGAATTGGAATTTGTGTGATGGAGCCCGTTCGTCCCTCGATACGTCCAGCTCGTTCATAGATTGTTGCCAGATCGGTATACATATAACCAGGATATCCACGCCTTCCAGGCACTTCTTCTCGGGCAGCAGATACCTGCAGGAAGATTTATAGTTTTATGTGCCAGAAGTCTAAAAGGAGAGGTCCCAAAAAATGGCAACCCAACACCTATTACGCCTCAAAGTAAAAGCAGGTTGGGTTCGGCTAAATACAGAATCATAATTGGCCCAATTGAAAAATTGCAAGATACACTTCATGAACAATACCTCACGAAGAGCATCAGCATATGAACTCATATCAGTTAAAATTACAAGAACATGCTTTCCACATTCATATGCTAGGTATTCTGCAGTTGTCAGAGCAATCCTGGGAGTAATAATACGCTCTATAGTAGGATCATTAGCCTGCAAAAACATAACTGAGGATATCAAACTTGACATTCACTATGAATAACTGCATTTGTTTTCACCAAAAAAAATGATCACTATGGATTCATGAAAAAATTTCAAGAATTACCAAGTTTAAGAAGAGTGTCACTCTCTCCATAGATCCATTTTCCTCAAAATCACGTTTAAAAAACTGTGCTGTTTCCATGTTGACTCCCATAGCAGCAAAGACTATGGCAAAATTGTCCCCTTCACCACCCTGGGTATCAAGCGGAAAGGAGAGGATTATGTCAATTTGCATACAATCAGTCAACATGCATAAACGAACATGGATAAAAGTGCCTGTCCAGCTATTCACTGGGAGATTAGAGAAGCAACACATAAGGAACTAAACTCGTAAAACTTAATGTGAGCCAATCAAGCCATGATAGTTGTAAGATTTCTAAAAATAATATATCACCCCAATGCTTCAAAGGCCATTCAACTCTCAAGCAATATATCTGACTTCCACTATCATCGTATTTAGACAACTCCATCAAAATAATTGGCTAATCTATGCGTAAGTGTAAAAAAGTAAACTACTAACCTCAAGAAGGTTGTCAGATTTCTCCAGCCTCTTCACCAGTCCAGCCTGACGACAGATCTGGGCTGCAATCTCATTATGAGGAAGACCGGCGGCAGAGAAAAGAGGAATCTTCTGCCCTCTAGCAATTGAATTCATGACATCTACTGTGGAAATTCCTGTCTGTATCATCTCTTCAGGATATGTTCTCTCACTAGGGTTGATAGAACTTCCTAAGGTTGACATGTTACACATATGATGATATATTAGAAAGAAATCACAAGTAAAAAACCAAAATGATGGACTTCCCAAAACTCAATACTTGCCTGAGATATCCCTGTAAGCCTCAGGTAAAATAGGAGGACCATTGTCAATTGGCTTGCCAGAACCATTAAAGATGCGTCCAAGCATATCCAATGAAACTGGTGTCTTTAAAACCTGAAAGCATATTATACACTATTAGCAAACAGTATAAATAGGAAATGATAGAAGCACACAAAAAAATATCCTGTACTATAAAAATTTTAAACGATCCTATAATTTCCATCTTAGGATACGGAACGTTTCACTATTTTCTCCAATTTGCAAACACAAGATTAC